AAAACCACAACGTTCTCATTTTAATAAATCACACTCTCTTATTAGAGGTTTTCTCTGCTCAGTGCAGCAGAGAAATTCAGCAAATCTATAGCACAGTTACAGTGAGGAGGACAGGCCGAAAACACCATGTCAATTTCTGAAGAGATATTACCATAAAAGCAAACTCAAGAGAGATGCTGTTGGCTTGCTGAAATCCACCAATCACAAAACTGACACACTAACCAATTCGAAGTTTAATTGGTGATCAGGCTCCATTCCAAACATTAGCATGTTACCTACTTTAGACAACACTGTAAGGTGTCTAAGGCATGCTACTGATGCTAAATTTGTTCTAATTGTAGACAGCTAAATTATGTCGGCAAAATTTCATTCAGTATTTATGACTGAAATATTTATGTACTGTTTGTGCCCACTGGAATATCAAGTCTTTAGCTTAGCAACATGCTGATGTCAGACCATTGGAATCAATTCTGAACTTTAGTTGACTATCACACAGTCCTCAGTGGAAGCTACATGTGTCACAAACCAGTCCATTTTAGTCAAACCTACACAAAAAAAAACCCCTGACAGCTCTGCTTTAAAAGGGTCATAGATCCTAATAATCAGATCCTCACTTTCGGGGAACTCCGCCATAAATATAATGGCATACTTTGGCATATAATAATGGCATATAATGACAAATTCAAACAAGGTTTATAGTATTCAGTGAAAATCACAGGCACATTTATCTCTAAAAATACAGACAAATTGGGAGACATACAAGACAGACCAACAAGTTAGACACACCAGAGTACACTAGATGGATATAGCCTACCATCTAAAGAAAGGATTATGGTTTAATCTGTCCAGTCAGCAATATGATAACAATGTATGGTTAGACGTTTCTCAATTATACACTATTTCATGGCTTAAACTACTCTCTCTCTCTCTGCCAAAACAAATTACTGTTGGCTGCAGTGAGAAAACCACAAAATTCAATGGAAATCATGTAAACTCTGATTAACCAATCCCTTTCCCCAAATCATAGTGGCTGCTTTGGAAGCACCCCCACTGAGCAATTCTTTCATCTTCGCTTGCTTAAAACACCTCTGGAAAGTCATATGCCAACTCACAGTGAAATAAATCAAGGCCAGCTGTTTTTGCGCACATCCAGCATCACTGACTGGATTTTGTTACCATGGATGGCAGATATCCAATCAACATATGGAAAGAGTAGAGTCCAAACATGGTCCCTTTAGGAGCCACTGAGCTGCCACAAAGCAGACTTGTGGCGCAATAATTCTGCTAACACAGTTTGTATCAAATACAGAAACACACACATGCTATAGTGTCTGTTAGGGTAATCTGAGCAGTCCTGGAGAAACTAATAACACTGGAGTTTGGCCCAAGCCACTGTCTCCAGCTTAATTCTTCTATCCTCCGGCCACAGCGTATACCACCACACACACTCTTTCCCTTTCTTCCTTAGTTAACTTTATTCCTTAACTTTGCTCCAGATGAGCAGTGGAAAAAGAAGGCAGTGATTTGGCATTCCACCAGCCACAACACTGCCAAGAGACTCAAAGAGTACCCACGACTCCAGCGGCATTTTTATCACACACATTCAGAGAAACACAAACGCACACACTCCTCTTGACACTTTGTTTCTCTCGCAAGCACGTCACTGTCACCTAAGCTGCTCTCATCTCCTGTCAGAAAAAAAGTTGAGAAACAGGCAGAGTTCACTTTGTCTTTTCTGCATTTGTCTTCTCATCTTTCACACACCCCTTTATTTGTGTGCTTTCTCTATCTTTCACTCTTCCTGAGGAAAGCCCCAGGCGTCGAGCAGCATGTTTTTTTACTTGCACAGCCCAAATACATTGAGCTATACATATGCTGTCAATCTGCTGTCAATCGATTAAAAAATGTACTAATTCATCACACATTTTTTTCTGAAATTAATCGCAATTAATCACCCCTAACATTAAAGTTTTTAGATAAACGTTTATATTGCAATAATTTAAAATTAATGTAGAAACAACATAAAGACAGGATGTTTTTAATATTTGTTTAATGGCATAATTTTTATGACTGACTCTTTTTTTTATAATATTTAACCATTGACTAAATGTAATATTGACTATACTAACATAATTGAGGGCTATCAATTTTAAGATTTATTAGACTTCACATAAACCCCTTATAATAAATGTCATATTAACCTGTGCCCTTTAGCAAGTAGGAAATATACAGAAATTAAACAAATTTATCAAACACTAAATTTTAAATTAAAGATGAATCCTTAAAGGTACAAAGGTTATTGATTTCCTCTTTTTTTCTTTTGATCTTTGATTAACAGGCATCACAGCAGCTGGGTTATTAGGTTATTTGGCTGCTATTACTTTAAGAGCTGCTGCTGCTGAATGTGACGCGGATCTGACATGCTTGCTTGTAGTTTCTTTCGTGCTTTAATATGAAATGATACAGGCTACAGCGCACAGCGCCATATTTGTATATGCAATTGAAAAGCACGCTCTACGAGCACAGTATAACAGCTGACAGGACAGGAAGATTAGTTTTTACTGACATATGGCCTGACAACATCTCATCTGACCACAGTTCGCTGATTTTCTATTGAAGCCGCCTCATCACCTATACCTTTTCTGCGCTCGTTTGACTAGCGCCTGGTGCTAAGGCATAGTGGGGTGCGCGTCTGAAAAGTCTCCTGTTTGATGTGGTCGTAAAGATGTTCTGCGTCTAAATAAATGCAATTCTTGCCAAGAAAAAATAGACAGAAGCAGCAGTTGTGATTGGGGTGATTAAGGTTATAGTTTATATAACCCTAGCTCCACCCCTGCATTAACTGCATTACATTTTGACAGCACTAACATATATATATATATATATATATATATATAGAGAGCACAAATATATATATATATATATATATATATATATACAGTGGTGGCCAAAATTATTAGAACACTATTTATTTATAATTATTAGAACACTATACAAAATTATAGATTGTTGCCTCTTATAGAATGACGACCAGTTAAATAAAGCAAATAACACGTCAAACATACTGTATGTATTTGTATTTTCACAAGAACCATTTAAAGATCTAGAAAACGGTGAAAGAATTTGAGCAGACAGAATCTTACCATAGAGATGGCACTTCCTGTCTGTCATGCGACTCTCCTTCAGGATGTTTCTACCTGCAGGCCTGTTTAACACTCGTAGATACCTAGATTGTCTTATCTCTCTTCACTGGACACATCCAAAAAACAGCAATGTTATGTCCTATATGTTGTTTGGGTCACTAAGCCAGTATGATCATCTCTGACACAATGGACAGTTTATGTGTGTGCTGATTCACAGGACTGTGGTCAAACACATCTCAGATAGACACACAATCATTCTTCCCCTCCCTCTCTCTACTTCCTGTGCGAAACTGGCCTCCTCATCTCCTCCTGCAGTGTGCTCCTCTATTATACTGTCAAAATGCTACATAAGCTGCAAAGCACATGATTTGTTCCAGAGCCTTTATCCCAGACATCAACCTCCTAAAACCCGGAGTCCTAGTATTTCTGGACCCCTCTGTCTCGGTTGTGTATACGTGTAATATATAGTACATGTCATCAGATAAGGGCTTTTACCAGTCATTTGCTTTCTGTTTAGACACACATATAAAGCAGTGTAACCACACATTTCCGGATGTTTAAACTTGATCAAACTAAGCTCTTTACAAAAAGCAAGTTTTCTTGCAATCTCTCTTTGGTGGAGTAATAGCGTCATGATCTAAAAATAACGTGTAACTGATCTATCGATTCACTTTCACTGAAAGGAAACTGTCAAGAACACATTTTGCATCTAAACATACTTTCTGAGAATACGTCTGTCTATTTAAAACGATAGACATTTAACAAGATTCTACATTTGCTACATTTATTATTTATTACATTTTCAATTCAATGTTTTTTATTGTTATGCTGATAACATCCAATGTGTAATAAAAAATATTAAATTAGATTCTTAAAAATTAATTTTGCAATATTTATTATAAATTATTTATTTGTGCACTTCATTACTTAAAAAAAAAAATTCATGTGCCCTCATAATCTTTAATCAAAATAATTGTTCTTCCACAAATTGTTTTCTTACAGTGTCAGTGTTCAGAGGAACAGGTCAACACTTGAATTCTTAGACTGGGACATAAGAAACACATCTCAGCTGCACACACACGCATGCACCTTGCAGACTGTTTGAACAGAAGCTGTTAAAATGTGCGGCTTAAATAATACATGAATGCTCTTCATGTATTGTTGAGGGTAGACAAGGGGATGCTTCAGGGGAGTGGGTGGCACAATTTTCTGCTGACCCAGAGAGGGCAGAACCTAACCCAACTAAATTCCAGAGATGTGTCAGCCCCAATACTCTAAAACAAGACAATGACAGAACAGATAGACAAAGAAGAGCTGAAGGCTAATGCAAAATAATAGAGAGAGACAGCTAGTGAAAGAGACAGATTATGTGTGACTGTGATGAGAAGAGACGAAAGATCTTTCCACACAAACACAAATCCTACAGAAAGTACCACACCTAACTAAATATAAGGGCTCTTCTCCATTTATATTTATAATATGTTCCAATTGCCAGCCATACTAGTGTATAGTACCACACTGTTAATTTTGTCAAATTGATAAATTACACACTTAATTATATGCAAATGGTACACACTCTGAAACATTTCGCATTTCATAGGCTATTTTACCAAACTCACAATTTCCAACGTACCTGTAGGTTACTTAAAAAAAAAAACATGAAAAAAGAATTGTACATCTTCCACTGAAACACACAACAAGCTTGGGCACACACTTGACGCTATGGCAAGAAAAAAGTATAAGCAGACAATAGAAAATAATATTTATTCCGCATCAATATCTTGCAAGAAGGGAAGGGAATCATTAAAAATGAGAGAAAGGATCAGGAAAGATGAGTTTGGACTTAAGAATACTCACTGGGTACTGAGCTGTCTGCCTTTTCCACTTTCAGGCTATGCAGCGGTGAGGTAGCAGAAGCCATTCTGGGTTCGAATGATGTAGTGTGGTCTTGCTCTGACACTTCTGCCACAGTGACTATTGGTGGTCTGGTCTCTGCATCCTTACTGCTGCTGGCTGACTCCTCCACCACCATCAAACCCTGCAATAAACATTTTGCATTAACGATCGTCAAAGAAAAACACCGTTTTACTCTTTAAAGAGCCCACAGTACACTTTCGTAACTCATAATATTAATCAAGGTTTCTTGCTCACGTTTTACATGACAATTTTCAACCCTATTTCTGACCCTTAGGATTATGCAGGTTGTACAGTTCAGTTGTCCCCCTCTTTGGTGGTTATGGTTAATTGGGTCATTAAATGGAAAATCAAAATGTCCTTTTTACACATATTTACACATAAAAGGCTACTCGACAATAAAACGTACCGCAAGTTCCAGTTCTCAAAACTGACTCCCCAGTTAAAAATAAAATGCCAAGATCTGAACCCATCTCATGATAACCAACTACCAAATGTAGACCATTAATCACTCCCACAAAGAATCTGTGGCTGTACAACTCTGCAGAAATCTTAGGTATGGTTTCCACTGAACTGGAACAGCCATTCTTCTCATATTTTTGTTTTACATATCACCTGACCCTTGCACGTTCATTTATAAAAGACCACCGGTGGGTCCAAAATTGCATCATCATAGTTATTGTAAAAAAGTTGTGGAACAGTGAACTACACATATATGTTATCATTTGAAAGCTTAGAACCTCAGCTTTCTTGTCCATCCCATCACTTTTGCATTTATGTTACATAAAATAACATAATACAAACAACACCCCAAGATGTGATTATGTAGTTTATTTCTTTGATCTAACACATTACAGAGAATAATTATTAAAAGAATCACGATGATGGAAATGACTTCTCTAAACAAACAAACATTTATGTCACATTCCTGCTCCAATTTCTACTTCTGTGTGCTAAATGTGGCCAGAAACTTTATATCAGCTCTTAGATTGTTATCTTTAAAATGAGACTATGCTTACTTTTCTATGAGCTTGCACGGCCAAACTACATGCTAATATGTCTCAGATGTGCCGATCAATACTTGCATGGAGTTGAATGGTGCGTTTTCGACTAGTTTTGCCTTAACACGTTTGTGTTGATGGGCGATTACGTCATCACGTAATGTGTCTGAAAAGCCCCCAATCAGATCTGTCCAAAGAGATATCGATCAAACTCCTAGGCCAATCAGATGTCGATTTATGCCTTTCCAAACAGAGGGAGCAGTGTTGCCACCTTAGCAATTTTGTTGCTAAATTTAGCAACTTTTCAGACTACCCTAGCAACTTTTTCTTCAGAAAGCACCTAGCAACAAATTTAGCAAATTTTTAAATTTATTTGCCAACTTTTAGCAACTTTTGATAAGTGACTCAGACAATAAAAAGGCATACATTTTCCATCCAAATTACACAAAAAGAGGATAACAGGATAAGGAATAACAGACTTCCAAATAAATACTTAATAAAAAATAAAATCGAAATTTTAATTATTCCACCCGTGTGGAATTTTTATCAATTTACTCCAATGTATGTGAGTAGGGTGCTCTTTTAAAAACAGGTATGCCAAAATCTGTACAAAAAAAATAAAAATTCAAAATATGCCGCAGAGTTTAAGAGGCTAATCTAATTACTCTCTAATTGTGTAAGACTGATATATAAACTCTCAAACAGTGCGTTGATAGCCACATGATGAAATGTCTCCTCAGCAGGCAGAGCACTTGACTACACACTACCAGAGCTAATAGGCCCTGTCAGCTGCTCCACTGTTTTTAGCAGCTGTCTTTACTTTGATTTCTGGGGAACGATGAAAGTCTCATCTTTCAAGTGATAGAGCCCAGATATGAGACAGACTGCTCCTAGATCCATCAGGCGAACAAGAGAGACAGAGGAAGAGGAGACAGTGAACAGCACCAGTAGGTGAGCACTGATGAGATGCTGTCTGACCACAAAAGGAAGGTGAGATGCTGAAAAGGAGGAAACAGGAGAGGATCTATCAGAGAGAAGTCTGGAGCTCAGCAAAAGCTTCTGTACCCAAGCATGAGTTTCTTTTTTTCTTTTTTAAAGCATAACCATATAATCAAGTAATGAGTCCAGCCCTGGACAGAAACCCTCAGTAGATCCCCCCAGTCTGAGAGCCACAGTTACTAAAACCCTGAAAATTGTGTTTACATAAGATTTAGAAAACATTTATTTCTCTCTCTGTCTGGTTTTCAAACATAGAAAGTGTAATTAGATATTGAACAGGAGTTGCACAAGAAGTTGCCAGAATGCCGGTAAAGGGTCTTTACATGCAGTGAATTTATACAGTAACGTTTTGATTTCAGGTTAATGGATGTCATATCAACTTTTCATATGCAACCTCTAAATACGGCAATCATGGTGAAACAGTAGGTATAAATAAACAGGTAAACACTCAAGATTGTGTGGCGAGGGAATCCTCCATCCTACAAACTCTCACTCGTCTAAAAGCACAATACCTGGCTCAATCACCTTTTTCCTCTTCTGCAGAAACGTCAAAAAACTGTGAATCAGGGGAGAGCATTAACCCAGTGCTGTAGATGACTCACTACTAAGCAGCTTGCCATAAACGAACCTAAATGAAAGTGATATTTAATAGAACCTGAAGGATTTATTCTCTTTTTAAAGCAGGCATTTTGCTCTGGCAACTACAGCAGTGCAGTGAGAATGTTAAACAATAGCCTCATTTTGTTACACACACATATTTAAAAAGAAATAAGAGGCCTTCTGAGGATGTTGCAGACATTCGGATTTTCCATGAATGCGGGAAACATGAAACGCAAGTTCATGTGAATTTCATTGCATTTTAAAATTTAACTCTGACCTGCGAATTTGTTTCACGTGAAGATGCCTGATCAATAGAAGACTGACACGTCACAGTGTGACCTTTTAGCTGAATTAAAATAACTAAATATTTTAAATATGTGTTGCGTTGAATATATTGCATTTTTTTAAATCTTTTGGATGTATCATATTTTGAATTATGTTTAATATAAATGTCTGCAGAAACTGTCTAGTGACCTTGGAATATCCATGAACACCTTAATTGGTTCATGGTTCAGGTGTGCTTGACTGGGGTTTAGATCCGCTTCGTGAAAGGCATGCATATCTTGTTAAAATACATAAAAATCACCTAAAACATGTCACATGATTTTGAGCACAGCATTTGAGCACTCACTGACGTAAAATTTTTGTTGTAACACTTCTTGAAGCATCAAATCAACTTTGTAACAAGTGTGGAATTTGATGATTATGGTTTCTACTGAGGATAGAGACAAAGAATGTTGAATAAAAAACATATGAAAACATATTCTAATTTATCATAACTACATTAGTATAAACCAATATAGATCAATAGATCAATAAAGTTGTTGATAGCCAATACATCAATATTGTATGCTTTATTGTCTATGCAAATATAAGCTAAGTATGTATAATGTATGTGTGGTAGAACCAAACTTTACATAAAAGAAACATGAATATTCATGAGATCACATTGTTAAAAAATTATTTTAAAGGTTTTTGTGTTAAAAGAATGAGGTGGGCAATTAACAGTAATTTTTTCCTAAAAAATTTGAGTTTGACTATGGCACACATTAATTCATCACACAGATTCACAAAGCCATTTACATCCCTTCACTCCCTTATGATGAACAAAAACGGAAGTATATAAGTTATAAAAAGGTGTTTTGATCATCAATGAAAAAAATGCTGAAACGGTCGCCTTCGCCCTCCCACACTCTGACATGATTTTCAATGCCCCCTGCTTTCAGAAACCCTTTGGGGGATGAAGGTAAGTGCTATTGATTTACACTTCCTGCCTCACCAGGACTTCGCTTGTGTGTGTGAGAGATAAAGACAGAGTATATAACACATACGTAATATAAATGCAACTCATGCAACTCATGCAACTCAATCGTATATATGATCAAAAAACTCTGTGTATACGTGTTTGTATGTATGTGTGTGTCTGTCTGTGTGTTTATGGACCAGGTCATGAGGATGTGTATTCAGCTTCAGGCTGTTTATTTAAGGGGAGGTGATGATGATTCAGTGACAGTTGATTCACACTACACCGCCTAACAAACAGCACCAACCACAGCAAACTCACTTCTGTCTGTCACACCCAATGCTTCCTCTACAATTTTGCTAAGCAAAACCTGCTTCTAACCTTTCAGTCACCTAAGCAGAAACCATACCATGTTGTTCACTATGCCTTTCTTTGAGAAATTAATTAATTTATATATATATATATATATATATATAGCTCATGGTACTATGTTCAGAGATTGAGTGTCTGGTGTGCTCCGGTGCTGCACAAAAATGACTTCTTAAAGCACACACAACTACTAAACACAACTGATGCATTTTCACACAAGACACTTTGTGGGTGGTGAAATGTAAAATTAAAGGCTGTACTCAATAGCTTTTCATCATTTCAAACAATAACATTAGAGAATTTCTTGACAAAGAATAACCTCTCTTATCATCGGCAATCATGCACAGGCAGTTCTAGTCTAGTCTAGTCATGCCGTGTCTGAGTCTCTTCTGCTCTGTCTTGATCTATGCCCAGTTTACCTGTGCCTGCAGCACAGCTCTCCTTAGGCTGGACTGTCTGCCTGTTTTTGGACACATGCCTGCCTGCAGGTCTCTGTGCTCACTTCTGCCCTCAGGATTTGTTGCATTACTGGACTGTCTCTGGCTTCTGACCCTCTCACCTTGCTTTCGACTCTGCTTCTCTGTCTGCCTCATCAGCAACACAATGTGTTTGTTTACAATAGATGCACAGAAGTGGCATTTTGGTGTCATGTATTATGGAAAAGTAAATGGTATGTTTGGAGTTAGTAAATGATAAGTTTGGATCTCAGAGACTTTAGGTATTGTGTGCTGAACTGATAAGCAGAACAAAATAGTAGTAGATCCCATAAACACCTAGAATGAGAGAGAAATAAGGATCCAGTTAAAACCATACAAACACTTTTCAATACAAATACACTGAATATTAGGAGAGTTTCTATTCAGTTAATAATTATTTCTGTCAGTCAGCTGACAGTTATCCTTCTGTTCCAAA